CAAATCAGAACAAATGTGAAATCTACAACCTGTATCAAGGACCCAAGAATTAGCATGCGATGAGCTATTTGATTGAATAGTATAAATACCTGCAAATGTGGGTTTGATCTTCCCATCCTTTATGTCCTGCAGGTACTTGAGGTGGCTTCATTTCCAGTGCCCTTTTTCATGACAATTGAAGCAATCAACATCCTTCAGATTGGAAGAGGGATTAGCAGAACTAGCCTTGGTCCTACTAGAAGAGGATTCATCAGGAGACTTTCCCTTGCGACTGTTGGAGGGATCCTTCCTCTTCTTTCCCTTTCCATGTCCTACTGCCAGAACAGGGGCAGAAGTAGTAGTAGGAGTAGACACAACCGATTTGCCTTTAAGTTTGGTTTTTGTAGTCCTTAGAAAGCCTTGAAGCTTGCTGAGAGCGACCTCGTCCTTGTTCATATGATAAGTCATATGAAACTAATCATAACAAGAAGGTAAAGAGTGTAGAATTATATCGATGGCCAACTCCTCATCAAAACTGACATTCAATTTAAGCAATCAGTCTACATATCAATGCATCTTCTGCAAGTGAGCCGTGATGGGTTCACCATCCTTCATTTAGGTTGTGATTATGGAGGCAATGATCTCATACCTCTCCTGTCGATCATTTTGATGGTATATTTTTATAAAATCATGATACATTTTATAGGGATAGTAGTCATCATAGGACTTATGTAGCTCTGCAGTCATGGTTGCAATCATAAGACACGACACCTTTGTCGCATCCCTCTCATGAGTAGTGTATTCAGCGATTTGTTCAGGAGTAGCAGTGGTCACATCAATCTCCTTTAGCTCTTTATCAAGGATATATTCTTCGTCCTCATAACGAATAGCCATTCTGATGTTATGAATCCAGTCATTGAAATTTTAGCCATCAAAAATGACCCTCCTACATACATTCATGAGGGAGAAAGAGCGTGAAGGAATTGGTGTTGAAGCATTGTTTGGGATAGATATCTGGAAAAGAATGAGCAAAGTTTAGATTAGATGAGAATCCTTAATATTACACCGAAATTAAATATTAAGGCTAGGATCCAACACAATATTCTACAATTGCAAAGAGGGATGTCATAATCTAATTGTAAAATATTTGAAGGCAGGTAAATAACAATTTCCACTATGAAAAATGAAATAGTTTATTAAGTTTTAAGTGGTTTGAAATTCCTAGATATTTGAGATTCATTGAACTTTTCAATGACATGTTTAAATCCTGATTGTGCCCTTCAAGTTTGTGACTGGGATGCCGAGGATCACAAACAAGGTGTGAATAACCATGCAAATTAACTTGGTACACCCGATGTTACAAATCACCTAATCAATGTGTCAGTTAACCAAACACGCTCCATTGATCTATGATTAACACAAAGCTACCATTTGCCACACATTGTCAGTTCCAGATTAGTGTGTCGATTAACCACACATGCTCCATTAACGACTTTACAAGGTGCAAAGTGTAATTTCATGGATTATTGTCATTTTCACATTTTTCCTAAAATAACTAAGATTGTGAATTTAATAAACGTTTAGTTACTTTATATTTTTATCATTATACTTTTAATTAGGGAGAAATAGTGTCTTATCCTACTGGTTCGGCTAACGACCCTCCACCAGTCAAGGAAGCGGTGGGTGAGAGTGGACACCCGTTAAACAACCATTTTATAGGCAGTAACCTTATACCCCCTTATAGACCAGCTTCGTGAATGAAGCCTACTAATGGTAAGACTGACTAGTCTTATACATATATATTATTAAACTTATAATATTATAAAGTATAAGGGTTGAAGTTTAACTTTTAAGACTCTAGGGTTTGGAATTAAAGTTTCAATGATGAGACTTTAGAAATTCCAAAACATGAGGGCAAGTTTTGAAACTTGTCAAAAATCTTCACATTCATAACTTATGAGTTTAATTTGAATTTAATGTATGAGACCTTTCATTTTCCATAACTTGAGGACAAGTTATGGAGGTCATTAAACATCATTTAGATCAATTTGCTATTGAGGACAAGTTATGGAGGTCATTAAACATCATTTAGATCATTTTTCTAACAACTAAATTATCACTTAATTCATGATCTAACTAAACTCATAATCAAGATAATTTTAAGTCAACAATTTCAAAAGAAACTTTGTTTATAATATCAAACAACAATTATTTTTAAAACTTTGACAATTATCTTGTGGTTGGATAAGTACGAGCACTACTATATCATAAAAAAACATTTATGATGAATCAATGAATCGAGTATGATATTAATCAAAGTTAATATTGAAGAAAGTATGAGAGATTGAGCACCGGATGTAAATAAGATTTCGTTTCAGCTCTATTAAGCTCTTTGTTACAGAGAAAAATAGACAAGACTATAAAGGTTCTTATCAAACTCTAGTAAATGATCCTATTTACATAAATCGTACAAAAAATATTCAAAGGCATAAACACTTAAGCTTCGTATAAAAGAGCCCTAGTAAAATAGATTACACAACATATGAAGAGTACAAAACATGCTTCGACTAATTACAACAAAGACAACCCTTAAATTTTCTCCCCCTTTGTAATCATAGTCGAAGACTTCAATTTGTAAGTAGTTGGATGGAATACAACATCACTCTTCGTATCTCAGTATACCAAGAAGTTATCATCTTAAGCTCCTTCTTATCTCCTTCATTATTCTTCTTACAATGATTCATACGAATAATTAAGTTCGTATATTGAGAAGTTGAGTATCTTTCCACCTGACCATCCTGGAACAAGAATCGTTTCGATTTCCCAGACTTGTCCTTCCCTGAGAAGACTTACCCAAAGGGCTTTAAGCATATTTCACCATCAGTATACTTTTTCAAATCTGCTTGAGTCTTCGAAGGAAACATTGGTTTCTAATCCTTTTGCAGTAGCTAACTCCACATCAGTCATAGCCAAGCATTGATAATAATTTTCCATGAAGATCTTGATGTGAGTAACTCCAAGCTTGAACTCATCTAGATAAATCTTTTGAAGATAAGAAAAAGATCTTTCCTTCAACAGCAATGCAACTTGTATAAGGTCATACAAGTTCATTAATGGAAAATCTGCAACAGTAAATTCACAAACATTTCCATTTGCCCTGACTACCACATACTTCATAATTTGGACTGTGTTTTCAAAAACAACATCCTTCTTTATACTGATGACCTTCTTTATCTTTACAAGTGACCACACCTCTTCATCAGATTTTGCAAGAACTGCATGAAATATGATCTTCATATGTGTTCCTTCATCCTTCACTTTGAATTTACTTTTAGCTTTGAACTAGGGCATGATGAACATCATATCATTAATAGGAAAATCCAATTGACTTGCATCCATATTCATAACTATGTAGCTCTGTTTTGGCTTCTTTTCAAATGAATACATATGATTGAATTCAACCTTGGCTTCGATTGTTTCATAGTTATAATGCTTTGATCGATCATATTTATTCATACCTAGAGGATCAATTGCTCTTTGTGTCATAATGCTTTGTATCACTCTCATCCTCTATAGTTCAGCCTCAACCTCAACTTTCATTTCTTCCTTTGACTTCTCCACTAAAATAGTTTTTCCTCTTTCTTTCGAAGCTGAATCTTCTATTATTTCTTTCACTTTCGAACTACTTCCACCAACCTCAGGAGATTTACCAATCACAATACCTTTCAGAATTGGTCTTGTATTTGGCACAATTGTTACTAGTGTCGACGTAATCGGACCAACAGTTGCTATGATTGGCTTTGTAGTTAGGATCTTCAAAGAAAATACCATTCCCACCACCTTCGCATCATCACCACTAGCCTTCAAAATTTCACCCTTCCTTCCCCCCCCCCCCCCTTGCACCCATGTATAAACAGGCGGGGCATCTGTTGTTGGATAAAGGCTGGAAATGCGAGAAAGAGGAGCCAATTTTTTTAGAAGAATATCTTCGAATTGAGAAATGTTTTTCAACACAACATCCGAAGATAGTTGAGAAGATGAGATTGGCTTTGTAGATAATGCTTTGAGCTCCTTTAACAAAGTGATGACCTCCATAAAATTTTTGTTTTTAGTTGTAGAAAGTTGAGATAGTTGAGGACTCAAACTTTCATACAACTTGAAAAATTTCGTCACAACATCACAGATGATGTCAACCTTCTAATTAACAGAAGCATATTTCGTTCGAACACATGCAATCTCTTTGTCCAGATCTTGATGAAGCTCTTGAAGTTTGAATTTGACATTCTCACGTACCTTCTTGACGTCTTGTATGAACAATAAATGACGTTCCTTGGTCACCAGTCGTAATTCCTTCAAATATCCTTCAAATGTGGATTTCTGAGAATTCACCCTCAGCTCATTGTTTTTATCACACCAATCAACTTTCTCCAAAAGTCTTTGAACATACCAGAAACTTTCGAAGTGATCCTTCCTTCTAGCAATTTTAACATATTATCAACTTCTAAACTTGACATAGAATTACGTCCCCCAAGATCTGCTTGTGATTGAATAATAGAATTCAGCTTTGTATTCAATACTTTAAACTGCTTCATTGTTATAAGCATATTATCTGGGAAATCATCTTCATCTTCATCAAATACCAAATTCTCAAAAGTACCTCCAAAACCTTCAGATTCATTCTCAGACTCCATAAAGATAGATTCTTGAATTGGTGAAGTGGTTATGGGTGGATAAGTTGATTGAGAAGAGAAAAGAGAAGTAATTGGATGTTTTATGATGTTTTCAAATGTAGGTGAATTTGTGGTTGAAGTAATGGGTATGATCAGTGTAATTTGTGGAGGAAAAGAAACAACAGTTTATGAGGTAACATTCGAAGGTTTACCTTGTTCTGCTTTCTTCATAACATCCTCACCCATGATGACATTTGCATCCGTATTAGATACATTTACAAGAATGTTTGAAGTTTGTGCCTCCTCAGAAAATGACTTGGCAACCGAATCTTCGGGTGGTATAACTGTTGTCTATAAAGGAACAGAAGTATCTTTTTGGATAAGTTCAGGAGTTTCTGGAATCCTTTCATCTTTGTCATCTGTAGATTCAAAAGAGATTATCACTTTGTTTGACTTATTTTTAGCCATATCTGCAGCCCTTTGTTTCTTTGAGGATGGAGAAACAGGCACTGGAATTTCACGAAATAGGACTCCCTGATGAGTAACATGTGGATTTCGTACGATATTAGTGAGTGAAGGTATGCTCTTATGCTTTGATTTCATTTTGATTCTTCGGAAAACACTGGTCTTCGAAGGAATAATTTCTTTTTCTTGACTGGTTAAGGGAGTGTCAGCAACCAAGACTTCGTGTGTCACTGGCTCTCTATCAACGATTGGTTGCTTCTTTGGAATCTTCGTAGACTTAGACTCCTTGACTGGTTTATCAGAGGAACCAGTTTCAGTCTTCTTCATATGTTTTGACCTTGTCTCCTCCTTTTCAAAAAGAATCCCAGTCTTAATATTAGTATCAATTGTCTGCAAATAAGTCACTAAGACTATATTCGTTGGATCAACACGTTTGAGCATCGCATCAGGAGTATGAACTACAAAAGGAAACTCCTCAACATCATCAGTTGCATCCTTCAAACAACTGTATACATGAAAAACTGCTTTTTCCTCATCATTTGGTACCAGAATCCCCTCCTTATCGTAAAAGTACTGCAATATTAGGCTCCAATATCTTGCACACGAAATGCCATGAAGAGCATTTGTGTTTTCGATACTCTTCAGAAATTCTTTCCACAATTGAGTAGAATAATCTAGTTATAAATCATAATAAAACCCTACAACCATGGCATATACCTCCATTCGACCCTTGTCAAGACCAACTGTTCTTCCAATCAAACACCTCAAGAAAATACCAAATAAGAAATTCCAAACACTGGGAAGACCAGACTTCTTGAAGTCACGGATCTTTTATAATTGAGGTTGATAGCCCATTTCATTAAACATATGAACGATTTGAGGAAATGTAAAATTGACATATGGTGGGGAATTAGGGATTTCCAAAATCTGACAGAAAAGCTTCTTGGACAATCTAACCTTTTTATCATTCACGAGATTGAAAGTAACTGCATCAAAAGCTTTTAAGATGTAGTAGTTGATCCAACTTGAGAAAGCCATGAAAGTGGAACAAAGAAAGAACTAAGCATTGCTTTTGACAAAACAGAACTTTTCAAAGCAACGATTAGCATCTTGAGTTCTTCAGGGTATTCAGAAACATTAGCCTCCACTTGATAATTCGTACCCTGAATCTTCATAATTGGTAAAGAAGTTACATCACCAGTAGTGTGAGAAATATTAGCACCCGGAATAGCAGAAGTCGTCATTGTTAGGGTTTGAAATCTTGGTGTTTATCAGAGAGTATTTGGAAATTATTGTGTTTGAAAGTGTAAACTGATAATGAACCCTTGAATCCCCTTTTATATGTAACTCTTGATTTTAAAATAAGAGTGGGATGTGCATTTAATGAAATCCGATGTGGCACCGAGAAAACTGCTTCATGATGATGATAAAGTGACCATGCGTGATAAAGTAATTGTCACGTCGCCTCAAAACCCGAACAAAATACAAAACGTCCCTTCAAACATGCTGGTTTGTTTTCCCCAATGGAATAGTAACCGTCGGAACCCTTCGTATGGAAGTAAGGCTCTTTTACTTTTGGGTTTTAAAGTAAAGTCATTTGCCAGATATTTGAAATCATCAGCCTGAGTTGGTGTTACTCAGAACCTCAAGGATTTCGTGTGTGCAGTGTTCCAAAGAATCTAGATGAGAAGCAATACAAAGAAAAAATTGGAATTCAGTGATGTCAAAAAGTCAATTTGAAACGCAATTAAAACCCCAGGCAAAGGTTGCTTTGTTAATCATCAAGAGAGATTATCAATAGCTTGTGTATGTTCCCGTGAATTACAATCGAATACTTGTAAAGAAGTATCGAAGGGCTTCTTTTAAAAGGCTTACTAGATGGTTTAATGAATGTCGTTACATATCATCCTAAGCATAAGGTGATTAAGTGTAACAAAAATTACTTGTTTGACCAGCGTAGTCAGTGACAAGTTTGCTTTGGAAAAGTTTTAAATGACTTTGAATTTTGGATACAACTCACACGGAAATCATATTCAAGAAAAAATTGTGTACTGGATCCTGTTGGGTAACAAACATCGTGGGTTTAGAATGTTTGATCAAGACCACTCATAAGAAATGAATATGTTGAAAGATTTGGGTTTCACTTTCATCATGGTCTCATGATGTCAGATCATAAACACAGATTTTTGATATGTCTAGGTATCAATTGGTTTGATCAAATACCTCTTGGACATATGTCTTTGTGTGTGATTGTGTTAGAATTTTGGGATGAAAAAGATTGGTAGAAGACATGAAATGTACCTCTGTTATTTTTGGACCAAACAGTAAACTCTTAACTCATGTGAGAAGAGTCAGGTAGCTCAGAAGACTAATGTGAATACAAGCCTGATTGGGAAGAAATCTTCGTATGAAAATTTTCATTAAGGATTTCGAACACACACATTGAGTCAATAGAGGCTTTGGTCAACATGTTGCAGCATGCTTCTAGGGACATCTTAACTAGTTCAAAGTATTCGAAAAAAAAAATACCTGACCCTAGAACTGCAAGCATTACACCAGATGAATTAGTATGTAGACTTGCAACAAGGTACGAAAAACAAAATATTTTTGTTGTTTTTGTATTCTTGAAAAACAAACAATAATCTTTTTGGAATTTTTTTTGATTTTTCAAAAATAAAAAAAATAAAATCTTTTTGGAATTTTTGATTTTTCGAAAATAAAATAAGAAACTGAAATGTACTTGTTGCAAGCATACGAAATTTAGACAATCCATGAAAAATGACAAATGTACGAATTCAAAGGATTCGAAGACTTGACTATGAACAGTAACCTTTGAATGCTGAATGACATTCCTTTTTCTTACATTCCGTGCCTCTAAACCATTCCTTTTTAACCATCATTCTCCTTTTATGCGTGGAATAGAGTTTCCATCGATCATTCCAAGTCCTTCCAAAATTCTTACAAATGACTTTTCATCTAACGGTTTTGTGAAAATATCAGCTAACTGATTTGTTGTTTTCACAAAATAAACTTCAATATTTCTATCTTCCACATGATCCTGGATGAAATGATAACGAAGAGCTTTATGTTTAGTCTTCGAATGATGCACAAGATTATGAGAAATTCTTGTCGCACTTTGAGAATCACAATATAATGAAATCTTTTTCATATTAATTGCATAATCATGCAATTAACTATGGATCCAAATTATTTGTGATGTACAAGTAGCAACAGCCACATATTCTGCTTCAGCAGTTGAAATTGGTACACATGTTTGCTTTTTCGATTGCCAGCTCACCAATTTACTATCAAGCAATTGAAAACCACCACTTGTGCTTTTTCTATCAAGACTACAACCACCCAAGTATGCATCAGAATAAGCTTGAACAAAGAACCCAATTTTCGAAGGATACCACAATCCTAATGAAATTGTTCCCTTAAGATAGCAAAATATATTCTTCACAGCAGTGAGATGTGATTCTCATGGATTTGACTGATACATAACACAATTACATACAGAAAACATGATATTAGGTCAACTAGCCGTAAGATAAAGTAATAAACCAATCATGCTTCTGTAAAGAGTTAGGTCAACTGCAGGTTTATCTAGCGAAGGTGTCAGCTTTATGCCAGTTGCCATAGGAACTCGTAATTTCATGCTATTCGTCAATTCAAACTTCTCTAGCAGATTCTTCGTATATTTTTCCTGATTGATAAAAATACCTTCTCTGTTTTGACTAATATTCAACCCAATAAAATTATTTATTTTTCCCATCATGCTCATTTCAAACTTGCTTTTCATCAAATTTTCAAATTCACTAGACAAAGTAGGGTCAGTTGAGCCAAAATTATATCATCAACATAAATTTGAACAAGCATTAGATGATTCCCAACATTCTTTCGAAACAATGTGGGATCAACTGATCCTTGTTTAAATTTAGATTGTTTTAAAAATGAAGTAAGTGTAGCATACCATTCTCGTGGTGCTTGTTTTAAACGATAAAGTGCCTTATCTAAGATATAAACATGATCAAGATGTTCTTTGTTAATAAAACCCGGGGGTTGTTCTTCGTAAACAGTTTCTTCAAGCTCTCCATTTAAAAGTGCACACTTCACATCCATTTGATAAACATCAAAATCTTTGTGAGCTGCATAAACCAAAAATATACGAACAGCCTCGAGTCTTGTGACAGGGGAAAAAGTTTCTTCGTAATCTATTCCTTATTGTTGAGAATAACCTTTAACAACAAGCATGACTTTGTTTCGAACAATTTTTCCATCTTTATCATTTTTATTTTTGAAAATCCATTATTTGGCTTAGGAATTAATCTCCAAACCTTGTTGCGTTCAAATTCAGATAATTCAGATTGCATTGCAACAACCCAATCTGAGTGTTCCATTGCAATCTTAACTGTATTTGGTTCTATCTTAGAGATAAAAACATTGAACATGCAAAATTCTTGATGAGTATTTAATCCCTCATTCTTTGCATGAATTTGAGCTCTTGTTAAGACTCCCTCTTGTGGATTCCCAATTATTTGATCCTTCAGATGATCTTTTGTCCATTTTTCGATTGGTGGATAAGCTGGATCATATTACAAAGGTGCATGTTCGTATATATCATCATGTTTTGAACCTGCAATTGAACATGCATCATTAAAATCATGAAAATTTTCATCTTGTTCAAAATGCTCCCCCTTAATATGATGCTCCCCCTCAACATCAGCATCCACTTCCTCATTCTACAGGCTTTGAAAGTCTCTTAAGTTCTCCTTTTTCCCAGTCATGCGACGAGACCGCTATCAATGTACCATTTATTATCATATTGTTCGTCACATAGTACCTGTATTTAAGTAAAGAATTTTGGTACCTAAGGCTTTTTGGGTCCTTGGTTATTAGCTTGAAACAAAGAATGATTTTTAGAACTAAAAGCCCATGTTCGAACTTTTGCCTTGATACTATCAATTAAATCAACATCATTATCTAAAGATATTGAAATGTAACTATTTGATAGTTTTGGATTTTCACTAGATTGCACCTCAGGCTTCTCAATTTTTGTTAATTTGTGGATTGGTTTCCATCTCTGAATTGGAGTATTCGAATCTTGAGAAGATAAACTTCCACTTGTTGATTCATTCAAATACTTTTCGTAAGCTGTTTTAATCTGACCTTGAGAAAACTTTCCAGACTGATACCTTTTTCCTTGTCCCTCAAGCCAATGATTAATGGAATGAACTTCTGATTTTCCTTTTGAACATGAAACCTTTTTTGGTTTTGTGATTGGAGGATTTGGAAATTTTGGCTGTTGTGGTGTAAATTTTACTAAT